GAGTTCCAAGGTGCAGATTTGACCTATGAAACCTTTGGAAAATCAGGATTTAAGAGTGGAAGGAGTATGTCAGGCAGAGGTCTAGGAATGGACTGAATAATCTATTAGAGGAACGTTTAGACTACCCCAGGCTCTTCCTTTAGTCTGCACAACCAGGCTTCTCCTCTGGACAGGTGAGGCTCTTGAAGCACAGGTAGGCATGGCTAAGTGTCTGAAAACATGAGGATTTAATTAAAGATGACACACTGGAAAAAAAAAAATCTGCATATTATGTACCAAGACCACCATCTGCTTTTCAGTTCAGCCCAAGGACGCTGTGGTCTGGTGTCTACCCTATAAGTAACCTGGAAGACCCAGAGCAAAGTCGTACAGATTCCCACAGATCTAGCATTTAGAAGGCACTGCCTAGTCATTATCATACGTGAAGGATACCGGCTGACCAGCTCAGCCCACTAATACATAACAAACTGCCAGTCAAGTTTTAGTTTATCTTTTTTGATATGAAAGGACAACCAACAATCACCAGAATTTTAAGGAAAGGTTCCAACAAGAAAGTCAAAGACGAAAACGAACATAAAAGAAAATCTTCAGGGCAATCCCACTGGCTGTTCGATCTGCTGGGATTGCTCTTTGCCATATTTGCTCTCTTCGCTTCTACACTTTATTCAGGACTCTGTTTAAATACAAATTAATAAGAGATGTATTTTCTTACCACTACATCTAAAATAGTGTCACACTCCCCGCAATTCTTCATCATTCTATTTCTTTACTTGAATTTATTTTTCTCCACATATTAATCACTCCATACATATTGTAAGATTTTTATAAATATATTTTTGTCCATCTCCCCCTCTTATAAGGGTAGGAGCATTGCTTTTGGCACATAGTAGATTCTTGATAACTATTTTTAATATTATTTATTTATCTACTTATTTATGTACTAAAAATAAGTAACTTTAAAAAAAGCAAAAACAATGTAGAAAACAAAATTTAAAAACAATAATCAGAGAACTAAGAAAAGTTATAGCCAAGAAACAACTTAAAAATATTAGCTATACACAAGCAAAAATTAAAGAAGAATTAGCTCTTAAAAGTTTAAAATATTAAAAATTAAAACTATAGTTCAATGTCAGATTGGGAACACTTGGTAAAGAAAATCTCCAAAAAGAGTAAAGAGAAATATAAGATATGAACAATAGGAAAAAAAATAAAAGAATGTAAGAGATAATCATGGAAGTCAAATGTGTGACTTATAGGAGCTCTTTTAATTAAAAAAAAAAGTAAAGGGGAGGGAACAATTAAGTATATAATGCAGGATGTTTTCTAGAATGGAAGGAAAGTGCTCCTGGATGGAAAGGCCCTCCAGATGCTCTATAAACTAATGAAAAAAAAAAAAAAAAAAACCCATCAAGGCACTCTCATATAGAATTTCAGAAGCTAAAGCTAAAAAGATTTTCTACATAGATCATCTTAAATTATAATATGAAACTAAAATAAGTTATGGAATATATAGAGAATATATATATTTTTTGAAACCTAAAAAACAGCACTTTATATTATTGACTATGTAAATATTCAGTAAAGCTACAGAAAATCTTTCATGAGAGTAATAATACCAAAATAATAACCGTAATTATCTGTTGAGAAGGAGAGAGATAGAGAGATAGTATTTAGGCTTACAGAGGTGACATCATTTCTATGTATCAAATTTTATTTAAAAAATTACTGCAAGTAAATATAAAATTTAATGAGTCTGAGTGATGGGTATAATGATATTGTAATAGCCTCTACACTTTTTGATGTTTTTTGAAATATATCGCTATTTAAAACAAAAACATGCAAGAGAACAAAAGAAAAAAACAGGCTACATAAAAAATTGTACCAAAAAATACATTTTTAATTGTAATAACGGAAACTAGAAGATAATAGAGAAATATCCACCCAGTTATGAGTGAAAATAATCTTCAACTGAGAAGATATACTCAGCTACAGTAGCAATTAATATAAAAGTAGGATGAAAACACTTGAGACTTTAAATCATTCACCTATTCTTAAGAAACTAGTGAATTATGTACTCTGTGAAACAAGAGAGCAAACTAGGTAAGAAAAAAGCATGAGAGCTGTTAAAAAAAAAATGGCACTGGTTAAAAATGGCAAGATAGATTTTATTTTAACTACTGCAGGAGGAAAGAGAGACTTCAGTGTAGAACTGAGTTCAACTCCAAGTTAAACAGGCAAGGACTTTATTAAAGACTATTTCAACATGGGAGAGAAATTAAACTCTACTCCACTGAAACAAAAGTTGGGATGATTTTTTAATGCCTGGGTGAGCTAATGTAAATGTATAGAGGACATTAGGGGGAAAGTTAGTCTATGTTATTAGGCCATCTGTGTTTGTTAATTGTCACTTATCAAAGGTAGGCTCCTATCCATTCACAGAGACCATGATATAAGGGTGCTATCTTCTTTGACAATTACATTTCAAAAGGGTGGCTCTCCAGACCTTGAAAAAGACATTCCTATGCTTTAGAAAATTTACATCTTGAATGAGCAGGAAAATAATTTACAATTGCAAGTTTTCTAAAGAAAACGTTCTAAAAAAATTGAGATCGGAGGCCTACACTTGGGAAGAAACCTATTTAGTCAAGCTGAGGGGAATATTAAGTCATCTTAATCAGATCCAGGAAACTGAGGATCCAACATAAGAGAGAAATAGTGCTAAGTGAAGACCCATATCCAATTCTATACATTATGCCTGGAGTCTGATGAGAGCAGAAGCTTGTAGAATTCTAGATCAAAAGTCCCCAGCAAAATAACGAACAAAGAGTTATTGATTCTGATGTATTAGACCATGTAGAAATTAATATTGAATGAATCCTTACAGTTCTATTAGTCTAAAAAGAATTAGTGATAGATATGCTATGGACAGATAGTGAAAAATGTGCAGCAAGATGTAAAGGAATCAGTAACAAAATAACTAGAATATCCCCAAATATTTGGAGATTAAACAACACATTTCTAAATAACACATAGGTCAAAGATCTCTCAAGAAAAACTAAAAATTATTTTGAACTAAATGAAAATGAAAATACAACATATCAAACTTTGTGGGATATAGTGAAAGCAGTGCTTAGAAGGAAATTTATAGACTTGAGTGCATATTAGAAAAGAAGAAAGATCTAAAATCAGTAACCCAAGCTTCCACTCAAAGATACTAGAAAAAGAAGAACATATTAAATCCAGAGTAAGCATAAAAAAAGAAATAATAAAAATTACAGAAGAAATAATAGAAATTGAAAACAAGAAATCAATAGAGAAAGTCAATTAAATCAAAAGCTCTTTCTTTGAAACATTAATAAAATTCATAAGCTTTTAACCTGGGTAAGAAAAAATTAGGGAAGACACAAATTACTAATATCAGAATAAAAGAAAGGTCATCACTATAGATCCCATGGACTTTGAAAAGATAGTAAAGGAATATTTATTAACAATTCTGTGCCCGCAAATTTGATAATATAAATGAAACAAATTTCTTTAAAGACACAATCACCCAAAACTTACACAAGCAGAAACAATTTGAATAGAGCTATATCAATTAAAGAAATAGAATCAATAATTAATAGCTTTCAAAAAGCACCAGGCCCAGATGGGTTTTCTGGTGAATTCTACCATACATTTAAGAAAGAAATTATATCAATTTTTTACAGTCTCCTTTAGGAGACTGAAGCAGATGGAAAACATTCTAACTCATTCTATGAGGCAAGCATTAACCTAGTGCTAAAATCATACAAATACGTTACAGGAAAAGAAAACTACAAATAAATACCTCTATGAATATAGATGCAAATATCCTCAACAAAACATTCTCAAAATGAATCCAACAATATACAAAAAGATTAAACACACACCAAGTTGGATTTATCTCAAGTATATAAGACTGGTTCAATAATCAAAAACCAATTAATGTAATCAAAAATATGGATAGTTTTTGTGGTGGTTCAAGGTCACAAAACCTGATTTGATATATTTTCTATGCAAAATCTACCTAGTCAATCCAACACTTCATTTTGGAGTGAGAGTAGTTGGCATTTATTATCTTGCAGCTCTGTCACTGAGACTGAAATAATTCTTTTTTCTCACCACTGACCGACCCTCTCTGTTAGAATTCATCTTTCTTGAAGACTTGGCAGGTAATAAAATGTGTTCCATTCATTCTTTTTAGCCATTCTCTTCTGGGAAGATAACATTTGTCCATGTGTTATTGATAACTCCATGTTTGTGTATGCGATTGCAAACTCTGTGTAGAAACTCTATCATTATTCCATGTATAGCTACACATCAACCTAACGTGCTGAACCTCACCTTGTTGACTTATTATCCAGACCCTGCAAGAATTTGCTAATGATATTTTCTAAGAAATATTATGGCCAGTTTTACAGTACCAATTGACAAGATTGAAAAGACCCTGATATAATTGTACAATAATAGTAAGGAGAAAAAACAAGAAGTATTGTGTTCTGTTAAATAAAGGTCTTACACATTTTAGTATTAGCCACATTATATTAAATTTCGCTGAATTGAAGTACGACTTTGATATTTAAAATGGGCAAAAGGCATATAGTCTGAAGGAGAGGAAAATAGCAGATTTAATAAATGATGAACTGCACTTGACAAAATAGTTTAAATTGTTCCCTTTGAAATAGTTACAAGTCCTAAAAATAAGGACTCTGGTATTACAATTAATGTAAGTCATTGATAATTTTACTAATAGTTTTATTTATATTATTGTAATCACGTAAACCTATATAAGTAGAAACCATAGGTACATAATTTTCAAGTAGAACTGATAGTTTTACTTTAGATGCTTTCTTTCTACCTATAAAATGTAGTAAGAGGAGGAGGGAAATCCACATTTTCAAATGGGAAACCTAGAACAAGTCAGCCCCCAAAATCTAACTTTTATAAAATAATTCTCATCCTTATAAATTGCCTTCTTACAGGAAACAGACCTTATCCTGACTTTTAATATTTCAATGCACCGATCTTGGTGGATGGAGAATGGACCAGGATGTACGGTGACATCAGTGACACCTGCCCCAGACTGGGCCCCAGAAGACCATCGCTACATCACGGTCTCAGGGTGTTTTCTGGAGTACCAGTACATAGAAGTGGCTCATAGTTCCCTCCAGATTGTCCTCGCAGTAAGTGTTGACAGCCAACCACTCTTTCTAGTGCTTCCGGACTTGTGTTATTTCTGTGCAATCTCAGTGCGCACAATGGAATATGCAGGTAAAATGTGGCTATTTTCTATTTCCTAATTAATGCCACTTTTAATAAGGATTTGTGAGATTAAACCAAGCCGTGCCCTGGACTGAGTGTGCCGGTTTTTTCCAGCAATCACTAAAAGACATTGCCATCTTTAGCATTTTATATAAGAAATCCAACCAGTCAGGGTTTGATTATTTGGCTTTTGGTGGACTTTTCCAAAGAATCTGAAGGGAAGATCAGAGAGTTTTCATAACTAACATGCTGCAATACCCAAATTTATAAGATTTCAATAGGTATTCCGCCCCACACACAGTTTCTTTCTGGCTGTGCTATTAGTCTTGGGAATTCTCTTCTTCATTTGCCCTTATCTTCTTCCCAGATGTCCCCAGGTACCATCCATCACCCTTTGTCCCTCCCCCCTCAATACAATTCAGCTTTATGAATTAACTCTACTTCTAGGATTTATGCCCTCATTTTTTTTCCCCAGTATTATGCTGATAAAGAGCCTTCCCTCTACCAGGAAGCAGTAGGAATTATCAATAACTCCTTTGTATTTCTATATTTGTAGAACTATTTTTGTAATATATGCCTATTTATATAAAATATGTTATTTTACACTGTCTCACTATGACAAAGAGATAAATAAGATCAATAACATACTCCTTTTCAAGAAAAACTTTTTTTAAGGCTAAATGAATAATTTTGTGAGATTTATAAAGTTTAGGCAACTTTATTACAGATGTCTCCCTTTATTTATTACAAATCTACATGTGCTAGTCCACATGTTTTTTCTGACTCCATGTAGACCTGCAGTTATTGTGCATAGTCTTAAAATTAACAACGAATAATGCAAGTAGAATCTTACACTTGATTATCTTAAAATAAAGATTAGTTAGATTTGATGGGATGGAAGTAGTCATTTAATTATTTAAAATGTATTTAGCTGAAGTATTCATTCTCATGTGTTATAAATAAAATAAATAAATAAAATAAATAAATAAAATATTTCTGGTTTTGGAGGACAAATAAAACATCTTCATATATATGTTAGAGAGAGGTTGTAGATAAAATATTCCTTTGTTGGAACTCTGTTTTTTAATGTACCTAAACATTTTGGAAAACTTCCATTTATGTGTCAAGGATGCTATAAAGATATAACTTGCTTATATGCATGGATAGTTACATGTGACTATTTTAGAGGTTAGTTGAAATTATGTATAAACTGTATTCACTGATTTATTAAACCCCACATAAAATTTTGGCACACGAGTAATTTTCTAAAAAATACATTTGGACATGGAAACATGTGCTGAGTCTGACATACTACCTAAAAAAATATATTTTACATAAGTAAAAACCATCTGTAAAGGCAAAATGTCTAGAGCGCAAAGAAGATGGATGGAGTGTCTCTACGAGCAGTTGTGACTGATATTTCAAGCTATTGGCTCTCAATGCTGTCTACGTTGCCCCAGTTGAGTGGAAAAATAGTTTGAGCAAACTATCACAGGATGTGACAACTTTACCTCTCCCTTTTTCCACCCGTTCTATTCAGGAGCCATTCTTTTGCAATGCCGATTATGGATCCCCTGAAAATAAGTTAGCGCCAGCGTACCCAAGCCGACTGCTTGGAAAATATTCAGCAGCCTTTCAGTGTTTAGACATGCTGTTGTCTAGCCAGTCTTGGGCTGAAAGCATCCGCTGCACATAAAACTTAGCAAATCTTAACTAGAGTTTTAGAATGCAAATTAAAATTGAGCTTATCTTGAACAATTTGTTCCACTTAGTTAATGGAAGCCTTCCAACTACATTTTTCTATAGTCGTTCTGATCCTTCCTACTGTCATGAGTAAGAGATGAAATAATGTCTTGAATCTCTGCTCCTCTCATTTTCACATTACCCAAGTCATCCCCCTGACATGAAATGTTCAGTTCAGTCCAGTCCAGTGAACACTATCTGAGTGCTTGGCCCCTGTTTGCATCTAGAGAAACAAATGACAAGATCCCTGACCTTGAGGATGTCACAATCAAAAATGGAGTGATGTTCCTAAGGGTACTAACCATGTGCAAACAGGCACATTTCAGGGCTGTGATAGACAGAGAATACAGTTTGTGCAGTTTACAGCATTATCTTGGCTCTTGGTTCCATCCTGCTTTTTGTAAAGTCAGCTAAACTCTCGCTCTTCTCATTGTTTTCACCAGTCTTTGAAGCTGCCCTCTCTTCCAGGATATGTGGCTTAGATCTGCTTTCATAAACTGCTGTTCTTCCAGCTACTGCTCTTGATTAACTCCAAATCTCTCTAGTTCTTTTTCTCCACCTTCCGTAAGCCTTTCTTTCACAGATTCCTGACCCCTGGCACGCCTGTCACCCCGTTGTTCGGTTTTCTGCCAATCAACTTTGAGCTGATTTTGAAATTAGCATTCACAAAGCCCACATTTGCATTGCACATACATAAGATATCTCCAGTCTACAGCCAAAGGAAGATGAGTATAATATCCATGTAATTGGGAAGAGGAGCTATTAATCACACAGTTTCCAGCCGAGCAGAAAGGACTGCCAGAATGCCATAATGATGAGCCAGGTGTGAGATTTTGTGCTTTCTCCTCCTCCAGCAGCAGCATTTTCTTTTAGTTAGTATCAGATATCACATTCAAAAGGAATGCAGGTGTGCACAATTTTAATAAAACCGAAAATAAAAAATAGCCTACACTTATAAAATAGATCAAATAAATATGTATAGGGAGAGCCAAGGAGGAGGTCAACTAGAAAGATGATGCTATTCACGTTGCAAAAGAATTAAGCCAATTTCTTCAAATGTGTGTTTACAACTGCACCGTTTACAAAATGTCTTCACAGGAATTAAATATTTTGACTTGTGGAACAGTCCTGTGAGGGCAGCAGAACAGGTTATAGGCCTTTCCCGAGACTTCTTAGCTAGTAAATAGGGAAGATGGACAGGCTGACCTGTTTTTCTCTGGTACCAAGGATGAGAAATAGGCTTCACCCTGCATGCCAGCACCAGCTGATGAGTAATGGATTCTTGAAGCCCAAAAATTCAGAGTTCTTTAGTGGCAAAGAATACCATAATTAATTAGCTATGTCTGCCATGGGTGTTTGTGCCTTATATTTGTTATGCACATTATACTTCACTCACATAACTAACACAATGAAAAGGGAAGGTGTTTCACAAAGAAATGCAAATATGAAGCTTAAGGAAAAACATATGGCCAGCACTGAAGTAACTTTATATTTTAAAATACATGTTAAGATTTTAAATAATTTATTGGAGAAAGAAAACAAAAATAAATATTTAATCCTTCTTTTCTCTAGCTTACTTCCACAGGACCAATATCTCTACATTTTATATAAATTTCTCCAACCACAATTGCTAGGTGTTGTTTCCCTTTAGTCCCTTTATTTATTTTACTTCTGACACACTTCTAAGTTTGTAGCAATTGACTGTTAATATTTTTAGGAGACCAGGAGAGGATATTGGTAAAAGGTAAATAAGCTTAATATTTCCTGCAGATATTAAAATTGGCTTGGAAACCATCTATGAATTAGCAGAGAAGTCATAGAAGGCTTTAGAATAGATTCAAAAATCTGATGCTGTTCATAGGTTCACTTCCAAGTTCATCCTTCAGTTATAGCTTTTTCCCTATTCAGAAAACTTTGTGCTTTGTAGAGTGCATGAAATGATGGAAGTCATTGTTCAACAGATTGTGGTAAAAAAAAAAAAAAAAAATTGAAGATAAACTATATGTCTTCAGATGGATGGAGTCACAGCTGTTTCTAATTACTCTCAGTTAATGATAAATATTTGCCATTCAGCTTGCTAAGACTTGCCTGGAAATACCATTGGTGAAGAAATTTTCAAAACCTTAAATGCCTTCCTTTATCCAAGTTGATTTGGGGTTGTGCTGGGAATGGCATATGAATATTTCTTTGGATGTTGCTGACTTGCGTGGTTCATGGATGAGAGGGAAGGGCTTATCGCTCAGGCTGCATTTGACGCCTTTAATCTGGAAATGCTTATTTGCAGACAAAGATTGGATTGTCAAAGATTTGGGTCCTGATTTTCATGTAGCCTAGAATATTGCTATTAAAGTGGTAAATAGTAAATTTATGTTGTGAACTTTAGTAGTTTTAAAAGGGTAAGTGAGGAGATGGTATGAGCTGATACTCAGCTACTACTGCATTCAGAAGTGAAATGGTTGCCATGTGTATTCTTCGATACATTTGTTTGAATTGAAAAAATTAAGACAAATTTCCTTAAGAAACAAAATAGATTTGATTTTTAGTTTATTTGTTTCACGGTGAAACATGAATTAGCCATTTAATTTATAAGTTATTGTGTTTGCTATTTTTTATAAATTAAATTAGCCATATCTGCAGCTCTATGGTTTGATAAAAATATGCTCAAATCACATAATTTTGAAATATTTCAGTATTCAGTATCCCACACACATTTTTTTATATACATCAGAATAATCTAGGTGCCTCTAAGAAAAAGAGTTAGGAGCATAATTAGTAGTTGTTTATTATGTCTTGGTAGTGTTTTTGGTATAGTTCCCAGAAATCGCTGATGCATAATGGGCAATTTCCATTTTTTTGCCGTCATTAAAATTGAAGAAAAACCTAATAGATCTGTCAATAGGTATATTATTTGAAATAATTTTTATTTAGATAACCATGTAAATTATTTACACCTAAATCAGAAGTTGTAGGAGTTAAATGAGTCATTGTAACAAATGTCTCTAATTCTTCTCTTATAACAAGACTTTTTGTGCTTAAACCTAAAAAATAAATAAATAAATAAACTCATACTAAATTCTGCCTTATTCTAGTACTATTAAGAAATGAATTTCAAATAAAATTTTATTTTTGTACCTAATTTTGATCAACATTTGTAATCGACTGTTGATTTGATCAATTT